CTCCCTAGTGCTAATACCTCTGTTACTATTACCATTGTCACTGCTACTACTACTAACACTACTGCTTTCCCTCAATACTACTGCTGCTGTGACGAACACTAACACTATTATCATCGGCCCCACAAGTACCACAACATGTGCTGAAATGCATCAGTCTGGTAGAAAAGACCATGTCTGCCGACGCTGTTTAAAAACTATTGAAGCTGTACGCCGTTATTAGCTGTCACAAACAAATGTCAGTACTCCCAATTTACAATGATAAGACAATGGGCCTGTAACGTTGTGGGTTAGAGCGGTGGACGTTTAATCAACAGGTCACGGGTTCGAGCCCAGGGTGATTCATCACCTGGGTTTGGGTATGGCTAACGGCTTATGGGCCATAAATGGCCGTTCCAGCCTCCCTAGCATTTGTCGGAAATGTTCATTTGCCTAGTATCCCTTCAGTTTCCTAGCCAGATGTTTTAAAATCTGAAAACGAGAAGCTACATTGATGCGTGGGAAGCCTTCGAATACAGGGGAAATCATAATGAATACCAGGGCATAGAGGAGGGGGATTCTAGGAAATCAAGACTGCACTCCCGGGGAGGGGGGAGGACGTTTCCGGAATACACACTTGTGAAGTGCGGAATATTTCCTTCTGGGGAACACATCCGATAAGCTGGTTGTTTCAAAATAGTGTATTCGTGTAGAATGCCGATGAAATCCCTCAAAAACGACATTTCAAATGACGAGGAAGTACGCTTGACCCAGGAAGCCGTCTTCTGAAACTTTGTGGCTTCCAAAATTTCATCGAGAACGGTTCAGAATACATACTATTCGTAGTAATCGGACTTGAGTTTTTAGATCTTACTGCAGCCATACTAGCATAAAAGCCCTCTGGTCAGAGTGAGGCCCCATCTATATCCGCAGTATTTTTCCAACCTTACAAGATCGCTAGAAATAGTTGAATATTTGATGAACGTGCGTTTGTCAGCAACACTAAAAATATGCAAAACAGCAGTGAATGTCCGATTGCAAGGGAGTATGCTCTTAGGGTGCGCTGGGACTCAAGCTACTCATCCCTTTCCCCATACCCAGGAGGGGACTGATGACTGGTTTGACTGCCAATTCGTTTTGCGTTATCTTACGATCCGCGCTAAGTACTTCTAGTCAGCACGATCCGGTTTCCTAAGAGCCCATAAGAGCGAGACAGAGAGAAGACCATTCGGCCAGCGAGAGAGAGCGTTTACACAGACAGAGCACGTTACAGTCAGCGCAAGTCAAGTCAGATACTGAGTGCATGTACTTTAAAGGGAATGCGAGAGACATCGTCCGACAATGGACAAATCAGGATAGGAGGAAAAATCGATAGTCACGTCGCGATCTCGTGACAGCTGTATAGGATGAGCTCGCGGGCCTTTCTGTGAGATGAATAATCATGGGAATCAATGTATTACCGGCAAACGTTAGGACTGCGAGATACGCGTATTTCTGGCAAGACGTCGACCCGGTGGTTCAGTGGATAGGGCGTTCATCCCTAGCTCACTGATCGCGGGTTCGAAACTCGAGTGTAGCGGCAGTTTCTGTGGCCATACTGGAGTCGGGTAACTGCGACTGACGACGGCTAATGAGCCAGAAATACGCGTATCTCGCAGTCCTAACGTTTGCCGGTAATACATTGGTTACTTAAAGTTAGCGAGTAACATAATTGTTTCGTCATTGAGAAAGTTGAAGTGTCAACGCATCGCCAGACGAAACAAGCCAGGGTTGGTGAATCCTGGACCAGATCGGAGTACACCTATGTATTAATCATGGGAATGGGCACACTCTCAACACGTTATCAGACAATTTGTTCCTTAGGAAACCACCGTTAGTTGACGGTCCGGTTTATCAATCTGATTTTGCAGGGGACAGAGAACAGTGATGAGTAATAAATAATACAGTAGTTTTACTGAAAATCCAGGCGACTTCTAAGATCTCCCGATAAGCGAAGCCAGGCCGGGCTCGGAAGACATAAGATTTGGAGTCCGATATAGCTTTTTTCATTGAGAAGAAGCAGATATGATCGTTAGGACAAGAAACTGATTCACCTGACGATTCCAAATCCGTCGTAGATCCATTATCAGAGACCTCCGGAAATAGTTGGTTATCTAGTCTGACGTTATACGAACTGCAGCGGGGCCAGTTGGCGACCATAACAACATTTGTGCATTGGCGTTCACCGATCGATTACGGAACTCACTCTTCCTGTTCTGCCTTGGGTCTCATTCGAGCCTAGGGCGCCGCCACACCTGGGGTTGGGTATTACTGGCTGATGAAGATTGGTAAGCCAGAAATGACCACTCCAGTCTCCCCGGGTCTTTATCTATAGTGTTTTCGCGATCAGATCATTCCAGGCTCCACATGCTCCCCTTTATGATACTTCTCAAAAACGTAATACTACTGCTGTTGTCGCTACTGCTTCTGCCTGACCCCTCTGTGGAACACCGAATTCATTTCAGCTCTGCATGATCAACACTCAGGCCAAAACGGACTGACATGCATGGTGGAGTCTGCACGTACCACGACTTATTATGGTTTTTGAGGAGGAAGAAGACGTCTTTACCAGGGTTGGAGACGGTTTCGGCTAACTTTTTTGTCCTTAAACATCCTTTCAGACCATTTACGAGACGCGGATGACGGCAACGGTGCCCGCAAAGCCCACCGTTGTGTCCGCTTTTGAGACGGTTGTGGACATGGAACGACGGCTTGACGTGGTACCACTTGTTCCCAAACCGGAGGAACGCTTTGAGTCCAGTCTCACGACGGAAATGCCAGAACAGGTAAGCTTACCTTTACGGGTGTCTGTGTCTCATTATAGGTTGAACCAAAGTAGTAGATGGACCCGGAGTTCTTGTTAACGTTTTCTCGTTCGCCCATCTTCCTTCGGCAGAATGCTTTTTTTGTCGGTCACTGCAGCTTTTTTTGAGCTGACCTTACCAATAACCTGCCATGTGCTCCTTGCTAACCATTTTACTTAAACAAAAGAAACCGGCAACAGTAGTTTAAGTAGTGCACCTCATATACCCTTAGACCCGACATTTTTTCCTATGAAAACGGCGGTTATAGGGGTTTTAAGGGGGGGAATTAGGATAGGCAGTGGAATATACTTAAATAACTGCTATGTGCATTTTTATTATATTGTATTGAGAAACGTGGTTAATTTATATCTGTAGATTTTCCTAATCTGTATTATCGTTTAAGGTATTGCGGAAAAACCCGATTACCAAAGTGTAGGTTTCTTCAACTTCCTAAAAAAATAGAAATGATGGTTAGGAGGTCGTCTACTTCAACTTACTTGGGGTCCAACTTACCGTTCTGGTGTTAGGTTAGTAGAGTTCGCGGCGCGACGCGCCGCACACACCTTAAATTTTCATGCAGAACACCTTACTCCCAGCGGCCGCGAGAAACAAATCCAACTACATTTTTTCCACTTTACACTTACTTCTACGAATTTCCATCACTGCCTATCCTATCTCTCCACCCCCAGCATGTTAATAACGACCGTTTCCGTAGGACGAAATTCAAGGACTAGGGGTATAGGAGGTGCACTACTCAAACTACTTTTGCCAAGAAACTTTCACAGCTGGATAAATCGAATGTGCCTGGGAGTCCTTAGGCGGGTTCTGGATTGATTGTTTAGAAAATCCTGCTTCGGTAGTCAGCCTACTGTATCGGAATTGGTGGATTCCATGCGTTTCAGAAGGCTGGGCAGAAAAATTGACCCTAACGTGATTAAGCTCCTATCTAAACTGTTTCTGCAGCCGTTTTTTGGGGGAATTACAGCCGAAATTATAACCGGCAGAATATTTTTACCTAAAAGAAGTCAAGGGAGGCTGAACTTGCAATTTTCGGCTTATTAGCCGTCCTCAGCTAGCAATAACCAATCCACGGTTTTGCAACCCGCGAGGGTCGAATCCGTAACCTGCTGGTCGGAAGTCCAACGCCCTAACCATTGAGCCACGAGCTCATTTCACTTTTGGATATGCGCGCGTATATCACTACCAGTGGAGAAGAACTCACTGCTCCTGTAACGAACTTGATCCCAAGACACAGCAGGATAAGTATATCCCACAAAGGAGATCGCTGAGCGTCGCCTTCTATAATAAATAATACTATCTGCAATACTCCCTCTTCAAAAATGGCCTGAAACTGTTACACC